CAACATCTGAAAACTGGTGCATACTTGTAGGTAGTTTAAAGTTCATAGGAGGAATTTCTCTACAGGGAACACTGCGTGTCCTCAGTTAAGTATTAGCTCTAGCAATATCAGAAAAATCTTTTAACCCAGTCAAAATATATTGTTTCCCTAAAGATGAGGGCTATTCCTAAATGTTTCCATTCTCTCATATCTAGCTATCTCAGTTTGGCTCCAAGATGGCTTTAGTAATGTCTTGCTGTCAAAGGCAGGTTCTTCTCAGCAGTACTACCAGTCTGCATTATGGCTGTGGAAAGGGAAGAAGGACAGGTGAGGGTATACCACTAGCTTATATATGCCAGAGTGTAAACTGGTGCTTTCTTTTCTTGCTGTTTGTGGAAATTTTTTCTAGAAGATTCCTAGATAAAGGATTACATGCTGAGAAGTCTCAGAATGAGAGTCTTCAGGGATCAGTACCAGGAAACAATGTCTACATGAACAGTTCTGGTATGTGACACTTGCTATTCTGCTTCAGTACCGTGCCATGCGCTTTCCAAAGTGTCTATGGCAAGAACATAGGGGTGGTTAGAAAAACAGCTCTTGTCTTTGAGGACAGCCTTCTGCGATAACCATCTGACACATACCGTGTCTTCATGTCTCTTCACTGATGATTTACAGACAAGTAACACAAGCTGCCTCAATACCAACATTCTCATATTTTAGTGCTGTCCAGCAGGAAGACCATTTTATGGTCTTTTCTGAGCCTTTGCCCACCTCTCCAGTGTTGAAGCACTGGACAGGATTTGCAATTTGCTGTGTTATTAATCCGGGTACTGTACTGTGACTCCGCAACCCAACAAAGCAAGAAATTGTTATTTCAGAATATATTCTGTAGGACTGCCATTCAAGAGCACCTATGCTTTAGTTTATTTCTCTTTCCTTGGTATTGGAGTACTTTGTGCTTTTAAATCAGTGTGGTCTGAGGTGACATGAAATAGTCATCTTTAGGATGGATGTTTGTCAAAGACGGTGGCAAAGCTTGAGATATTCACATACTACCGGTGCTTCTCTTGGAGCCGATACCAAAGCTCACGCAGTAACAGCACCTGGGGAATCGTCTTACTGCAGACATCTGAAAGTCAGACATCTATGCCCGAGTAAATGGAGAGAAATAGATGTCATACTAATGTAAACATTCAAGTTACCCTGGTGAACATACTATTTAGAGGTGACAATTTCTTTTCAGTAAAGAAAAAGGCAGCCAAAGATGGCAAATTCAAACACCAATGTTTGTCTAATGGTAGGGCAAATGAACTCTCCCTGAATATCCTTGGAAAATAATTTGCTGATTGCATAAAGTCCTTTACTGGCTGCTCTAAGTCTATCTATTGCTCTTTTACCTTGTGTGATCCAGTTCTCTGATAGGCCAAACATTATCACACCTTCACACACCCCCTCCTTTTTTTTTTTCCATTTGAAACTCTTAATTCTTCTGAATGCATTCTCTGCTTCTCCCATTATTATCAGGAATGAAATTCACAGGACTGCTATTAAAATCAAACTACAAATTTTAAGTTGCAAACAGTGATTTAGCATTGGGTTCTCTTTTTCTCATTATTTCAATGAGCTTTCAATAAGACACATTATTGATTTTAGTCAGAGCAGCAGCTGCTCTTCAGTACTTTTTTTTTTCCCCTCTTTTAAACCCTTGAGGACAAATACTAAGAAACTTAATGTAAACTTCTATTTTTGGAACTTAATTTTTCTTCTGCAATGGACAGCTGGGATTAAAAAAAATCAGTTAAAGTTGCTGCACATGGAAATTCTTAATTATGTTATAGGATATTAGCTGTACCCACAATTAAACTGTTGTAAAAACAGAAGTTCTGTCCAGAAATCTGTCCACTAATGCAGCAACATTTGGGTACGTCAATATGTTTAAAAGCTAGGGAAGTCTCACCACTAAATATTCAAGACTAAAAGTTCTCTGGAGAGTCCAGTCCTTCGTAGTGTCTTAGTTTTTTGCCCCACAGATCATATGTTTTGCATACTGCTTTCTGTTTAGAGTATCATCTATGTTTTTTCTATTTTTACCCTAGAAGAGTGTCGTCATATCTTGGAAACATGACTGAGAGTGAGATTTCAAAGAAAAGAAAATTCCTTAACCAGTCTATCACAGGTTGATGATGCAGTCAACATAGTCTGTAACTAGGGTCAACATTAAACACCATTAATAAAACTATATGTTTTATTCTCACATTTAGTGAAACTTAACAGGCTACTAGCTGTAGAATTTACTGCATACTGCGGTAACCAGAACAATGTAGAAATGTGTAGAAACATAGGACAATCAGTAGGAAAATATTAGGTTTTCACTACCATACCTATCAGGAATGCAGATAAAAAGCAGATAAGCTGCCATACTGACCACAATATAGTTATTCATAAAGTCTCATTCTGTTGCTCTGCACCAATGTAGTGAGTCAGTCTCCACAGTTTTGAAAAAGCAATATTACAGCAACATTCCGGTAGACCAGCCTTCTGGTTTCCTTACATTTATCAGCATTTGCAAAAAATATATACATACATGTTTTCGAAATAAAGCCCACACATATTTTTCTTACAAAATGGAACTCAGGTGAATTATTGTTAACATTGCAATAACTGAATTGCATGTCACCTGTAGGCCTAGTTAACAATACAAAATGTGTATGTAGCTAAAGATAATAGAAATATAAGGCATGATACAGAGACTTTTGAAATAAATAACAGGTTTTATACTAAATTCAGTGGACTTTTGCATTAATCCTATTGTTTCTGAAATTAAAAATTATATTTATATACACCTGCTTACGTCCTTCAATCACATCATTAATTATGATCCTAGATACACGCTGAGGAGTATGTTCCAAAGATGATTATACCTAATGTGAAGGCTTCTAATTTCATTAGGTTTTTTTTCTCAAATCAAAATATAAGCAAAATTTCATTGATTTTTCTTATAAATTTAGTAGTGAGAAATTGGCATTTTCCAGCTCAGATTAGAATCTGAATTCTAATACTAAAATATCAGTTAGAAAACAGCTATATCCGAAGAGCTAAAAAAGAAAATGAGGATAAAGACCATTAGGTGCTGCTAAACTGGTAAAAGTCAAAAGGTAGCTGAATAAAATTGAAATGTGACTTTCTGCTCTTTCTTTTGAACAAATCAGGTGTCTTCTGAGAATAAAATCTAGGCATATACAGACTGTTCAAATTACTTTAGGAACATAACCATGTTAATACACAACTCTGCCAAAGACAGGATCTGCTGTATTGTACCCCTTTCAAAAAAGCTCATTTCTATCTATTGTCTATAAAGAGTGGAAATTACCAGCTGATTTAGGTCCTTTGGAAAGTGTCTGCATTTAGATGGGAGAGCAATCAGCTGCGGTGCAAAATGTCTCAACAGAGCCTCTCCAGGGTCTGTGTTTCCTGTGACTCCAGAGATTGTCTCTACCTCTTATGAAAGCGATGGAAAGAGGTGTTTGGGGTGTCCCTGAGTCTGGGGTCTTCAGGCTGCGGACGGTGGGTACCACCCGCCTGTAGAGTCTGCTCCGGGGGGAAGCAGACAGCCAGAGCACTTCTCCACTCCAAATAACAGCCCAGCAGACTGTTCAGCATCACCCCCAGGACATAACTGGAAAAGTACTCTTACCTAATTTGACTAGGAACAAGAAAAAAAGGCGAGGAAGTGGACAATGCATATCGTTTTCCATCTGTCAAAGTCTGAAGGTGCATTTTGTTTAGATAGCCTGTTTTTTCATAATTTCACTTTCTCGTTTGGCCTGCAGAGCATTTAAAAAGCAAACCAAACACTTCTTTCATTTTGTTTTGGCTGCACTCAAGGTGCTCCTACTTTATTGCCAAGTATGTAATTTGTGTATGCGTGTGCATGTGCGTATGGATTATAACTTACCGTAGGATCTTTGCCAGCCATTTTGCACTCTTCAACCTTGTTTGCTGACGCTGGCCAGAAAATCTGTAAGGAAAGAAGTATCTTTTAAGTAACAAACATATTTATTGCATAATTTAAACACAACATTTCACTGCCTAACTTACACTAATAAGTTAATATTTTGATATCTTTTACGCCTTGATTGTAAGGAAAAAAGGATTTTCACTGATAAATGAAAACAAATTTCTGTCTTAGCATGCAGTAAACAAAATAAAGGCCCAGGTCTTTGGCTGATATCAATTAAGTTTATTACGCATTTTTAAGACAAGTTAATCAATTTATTTAGACTTCTTTCTTCTAAATAAGAGAATTTTTTCTTCATTATTCCTTAAATTACTGTCCATCTTTACTTTTTTACTTTTACTGAACTTCTAGCAATTATTCACACTAGAAACCAGAAGACTAAAATATTGCAAGAAGGGTTCCTGTAACAATTTTTCAGTTTTAACAGCAAAGGTTTGGACAGATGATGATAAAACTTGCTTAAAATTTTAAGATTTCAGGCTGATTTCTTGATTTTTTTCCAAGATACATTGCATTACAGACAGTTTTCCGACAAACACCTCCATTTCTGAGTGTTTATCTGATCTATACTCAAACTCGAAAGATTTTGAGCCTCTTCCATTATTTATTTTGATTTTGAAATAGAAAAGACATCCATTAGAAATCTCTCCCTAGAATTTTAGTAGGTGACAGAGCCTGATAATATTTAGCCTGAAGATAACATAAATAATAGCATTAAAAGATCTCTGTGTGTGTATATACATATACACACACACACACATATATATGCAGAGAGATGTAGGTATGTATGCATATGTATATAAGGTTTCTATAGAGGCATAAGATTAGCAAAGTGAATCTGTTACGAAAATAAATAAACAACCAAAGGGACATGTGGAATTGCAGAGATTAATTCTGAGCCTAATACTGGCTGATCACATTCAATGCCAGAAAATTTTTGTGTGTTTTTACTTTTTGTTGATTTTTTTTTAATTCTTGTTTTTCCAAGCCTAAATAGCCTGTTGCGAGGCCTCACAGCTTTATACTGCAGAGTGTATTCCATGCCACAGAACCGACCTCCGCAGAGGATTAAACCCAACCTGCTAAGGGAAGGCTGGAGCGTGCCGTGAGGGAGCACAGCAGCTCCCGGACAAGGGTGGCCGGATCCCTGGTGAGATGGGAATTAGCAAAAAGGTCACACAAGCTATTTCAGACCGGAGAAGGCAGCCCCATTTCAGAGGAAGATTTCTGTGCCATTAGGAGGAGGAAGGGTGCATTCACGCCATCACGAGCAGCATTTAATTTAAATGTGTAAGTTAAAGTCAGCCTCCCCGGACTCCCTGCACAATCAATTCAGGTAGACAGGCATGTCCAGAGGGTGATTCAGAGCAAAGCCTAATTTAACTGCGCTTAATCACCCTCCAGCGGGGCCTCTCTCTCTCTCCTGACACATTAAAAGCCTTGCCTCTTAAGGAAGGCATTTAACTTCACTGCTGCAAGCTGGAGATCTCTGCCCCTCAGTACTCCTGAGGTACAGTAATAAAGCCCATAGATTAAAGGATCGGACGAATTTGGTAGAACAAAGTCTTTACGGTACACTTAAGATACTGATGTAGCTGTGATAATCTAAAGATAGGCAAGGCAAAGTCTGTGGAGAGGTAATATCTTAACAGTCAGGCTTCTGGGCACACAAGTAGTTCTGCAGACCACCTATTTTAAAAGCAGAGAAGCTGGATTTGAACTGGCTCTGGAGAGGAGAGGAATCTGTGAAAGTGGTTTAAACAGTTGATAATTTGATTATTTTCATATACAGGCTGCCTATTACAGTTTGGGGAGGTGGGACAGAGAGTCCTTAGAAAATGGCATCTTGATAAGTGAGAGATGCAGCCAGAAAAGAGGTGGTGTCAAGAGGCAGATGGTCATAGCGTCCAAAAAACCCCAAACAAGAGGTGTCTCAGCTACCCAGCTGAAGGGCGAGGGCTAACACAGACATAACAAAAGATTGGAGAAACAGTTCAGCGACTAGGCTTCAGAATATGAACCAAAAATAAGTATAGTTGAAGGTTAAAGGCAACTTGGTTCCTCTTGTTTTTTTCCCCATGGCCTGAAAACGATAGCATGTATCTCATTCTTCCTTACAGGCTTCTTTTAAAAGTGCATCTCTAAATTATCTTAAATCTTGGAGAGGACTGGAAACCATCAACCCATACAAATCTTCCTTATGAGGCCAAGCCATGCTGAATGATGCTTCAAAACGAGTAAACAGGTCAGCTTTTAAACAGTGTTTGAGGAGCAGCCATGCTAATAGCTTCTTCATCTTGCCTTACACATAAATCCAGGACTAACAGTTCAATAAAGTGTGGGCCTGGACTTCTGCCTGCTGCAAAATAATGAAATACACATTTTTGTCTTAAAAAGAAAGGCATGCAGTAAAACAACCTTGGATTCTCAAAATCTTGGACTTACACTGAGAGGGTCCTGGCTTATATTATTAATATTCAAAGACAGAATATGATCTTTGCTGCCCACGTAGATCCGATCCTGATCTTCATCCATTAATAATATCCTGTAATCCAGGGGACTGTGGGATATTCTGTGATATTCGGAGGTCTTAGTTTCTTGCAGCTCTGAAATGGTAAAGACAACAAGTTAGTAAGTGGTTCGGTTGCCTTTCTCGCTTCACAACCGCATTTCTTTCTTTGAACAGAAGTGAGGTCAGTAAGAGAAGAAAAACCCTCATCAGACACTTGGTAATAATGTAGTGGTTGAATTAAAACAAATTTCCCTTTCCCAGTTTGAATGCAATTTTTTTAATACATTAAATAGCTAGATATATCTCATGAAAATCAGGCATTGCTGTTATTCACTCATCTAATTAATTCTTATTTTAATGGATATGATTATTTACAGCTTTGGCTTTTAAGGAAGATCATATATTAAATTAATCAATGTGTTCAATACATTTTGAAGTTTATGACAGCAGAAAATCCACAAGATCAATGAAAAATACATAAGAACAGTTTACTTTCTTTTTCTAATAGGGGGCTTCACTAAGAATAGGGTTTTATGATTTTCAAGGTCAAATTTTTTTCATCATCATGCATGGTTTATTTAAAAGAAAAAAAATATGTATTCAGTCAAGCCTAAATGTGTCCATTTATTCAGTTGTTTGTTTATGGGAATGGGATCAAACTATCAAAACTGTAGAACTAACTTTTTTTTTTCCCACATAAAACTTTCTTCAATGAAGTGACGAGAAAAACGTCCTTTGATCTCAGTAATGCAGGATCAGGCCTGTTACAGAAATAGCACAAGCATCTGCAATATAAGTATTCCTTACTGCCCTTGAGAAAGCTCAGCCTTCCTGTCTTTGCTTTGCCAATATATTCTGACCCCCACCCAGATTATTTTTCTTTTCAGTAATAATAGAAAGGATATTTCTCAAGAGTTGAGAATGGAAAACCAAAACTTTAATAATCAATTTCTCCTTATTCAAGTATTTAACATATAATTATGCTTTCTTACATCATGAACAGTATTACTGGATTCTATTCCCTGTGAGTGTAAAAGGGTGGCAAATACACAGTACATATGAAAATGAAGCCCTCCTATAAAGTTTATTCAGAAAACTAAGAAGTGAGACCACATCCCTTCTGCAAACTGTTTGTCTGGGACAATATGGCTTGTCACTGTTGCTAAAGCCTAGTTTTTGCTAAAAGCAAAGTTTTTGCTCATTAGTTCCCTATAGAAAACAGTAGATGCCTCATCCAAAATTAATCACTTGTGCCTTTTAGATGACTAGATTAACATGGGCTAATGATATTTTGGAGAACAAAACTCTCAAAACAAAAATATTTTTTGGCTATTTGCTTTGGTTTTGTTTTTGGGTTTGGGTTGGTTTTTTTTAAAAAAAAAAGTACGCCTAAAGTATGCACTTTCTGTAAAACACATATTTAGCTGGAAGTATATTTTTTGCTTTGAAAATTACTTGGAGAGCAATTTTTGACAAACTGTAGTCAACATACAGGCAAAGGCTGCAGTCTCAGGACTTATACTTGTCTACTAGAGATCTAACGATTGAAAGACCACTTATCAGAATATGATTTGCATTGATAAATATAATACATAACTCTGCTTAATTTTTATCATGATTGTTAAATAGTTTAATAGGAAGATGAAAAATACCTTAAATTACTGAAAGATATGATGTTTTGATTCACTTAGATGTGTGACAGCTTTCAGGACCTAAGGGTTGCCTACATGCATTTATCATGGTAATATTAAAAAAAAAAAAAAGCAACATTATTTCTATTTCATATGTCCCTCAACAGAAGATAAACATAAAATCAAGATTTACAGTCTGCACCTAAAAGCTTAAACTGAAACAGCACTCATTAAATATATATGAAAATTGTCCACAATTTTCGGAAGTCTTTCTTCAGTGCTTGAAAAATCAATTGATTTACTTTATTTTCAAAAATCCTCCCTATACGCTTTTAGCTAGGATTTTCAGAGGTACCTGGGAGACTCACCAGCATAGTGCCATTAAAATGCAGTCCCTCTGCTCTCTCTGAAATTCTCAGACTGACCTTTCACAACAAGCCAGAGAAGCTAGCGCTAATGCCTTTTCCTGGTGGCCTTACTAACTTTACTGTAATAGTTGGCAGCCGTAAGGTAAAACTTAACCTTCTCATAACTGTGTATTTGATATGCTAGGAAAGCGCAGATAAACTGGGAAAGGCAGCACTTTCCTGCATAACACTGGGTAAACGTGAGCACGCTGATTGCACAATATAACGCCCCTCCTTATAGCTTCAGTGACTGACAACGACTGACGATGAATAGACCATGGCTAACATAAAAGATGATCAAGATTATGATGACTGTTTTTAAGCAAGAGACAAAAATAGCAACAGATATTTGATTTCCACAGCTTTCATTTATTAAAATCCATTATTTTCCTGGATTTTTAACCTCTTTGCTATGGTATTACTCTTTCTAAGGCACCTGAAGGGTAATCTGTCCCCATCAAGCTGCTGAGGAGGAGAATACCTTATGACATGCCACTAGGCTACAGAAACTCAATACCATTCACAAGAGGGAAGGAAACCCCTGAAACAAATACTCTCATATAGATTTATTAGTTTTATTTCTTTCAGCTCACAGTTTATTAGCCTCTTAGGGCTACTCAAGCAAGCACGGAGGGAATTTATAATGGAACAAATTTTCATTTAATTTAACAAAATTTGCCACACAATCACCTAAGAAAATTTGATTTTTTAAAGATTTACTACCCAAGTGTTGTTACTTGGAAAAAGCAGTGGCTGGAAAGATGCTGTAAGGTCTTCCACATTCCTTTTCATCTCCAAAGGTTTTGTAAAAAAATGATGATTTACTGACCTTCAAAGCAAATTCTATTCCATGCTTTGGGAATTTAACCAAAGATTCGGCAGTAAACCCTGTATAGAGAATAATGTTGCAGACAGCTCTCTGTGAATATTAACAATTTTGTTTGGCGGTAAAAAAAAAAGATTATAATATATTCCATATGCAAATAACTGTCATCTTTAATGATACAAGAATAATCTTTGTTCACCCTTTTTTCATCAGTCAGTGAATTTAGTTTTGGCTTTCTTCAATGATAAAGCCAATACCAACTTGATTCCTAGTGTTAGAAATCCGATCTTGGAGAACAGGTTACATAGCTCTTGTCTCTTTTAATGAAAAACAAAAGCTTCAGTGAACTCTCTCCCCAGAACTTGTATTAATATTATTATTATTGAACTACACATTTTGGAGATCCCAATGACTGGGAGTTTTCTCCGTACACAGCGTACAGCTTACTGACAATTAGGCAGTTTAACGCCTACTCTTTAATTATCCTTCTAATCCACCACAAAAAAGTTAATACAAGTATTATTTTTAAAACAGTTGTGTTCTCACAGGAGAAACAACAAAATATTTGTGTAATATTCTTTATTAACATCACAAAAGCCTCTGTAACTCTCAAAACTTGTTGTGTTACCCAGAACAAAACAAATTATAGCTATCACAGACTGAAAATCCAGGAAGGTATCTCTCCTGCTGACAAACACAGTCTGTTAAACCCAACCTGCATATGGGTATATGAGCTACATCCACTCATCAGGTTGTCCTCTGAACGTCGTATTAATCACTCAATATCAACCTTTCATCACTCCTTAATTCCAGTTCACCGAAAACACAGCTTGACTTTCCTAACGTAAAGCATATAACAATCCCTAATATGTAAGATAAGACCCTAATGTAAGTGACTTCCTCGGTAGACATCTTATACTGATGTTTGATACATGTTACTGAAACTAATACAAATTTTAGCAGAACCTTCCCAAAATATGATTATTTCCTATTTGCAGACCCACATAACCACTTGTTACTGAAAATTTCAATATAATCAAGAAATATCTTTACACTGCAGAGTTTGGTAAGCTACAGCCATGGTATGCAAGCATCCCCAGCCCAAGTTCAAAGCACTGAGCTTATCCACAGATAAGCTGTGGATAAACTACAATAAGTGAAAGAGTACACGCAGTCATCTCTGCACTATACCATTCCTGGGTTTCCAGCCTGGCTGCTCTGAGCAAATCTAGGATGCTCTGTCAAGCTTTTAATTTAGGATCCCCTGTGGTAAAGTACAAGAAATAATATGTTTTCCTCCTCTTTCCTAAGGATTCAGCCTCAGAAGGTTGTTTATGGGGAAGTTCAGAGCAGAAGCAGAGATTTGGTGTATGTGCATCAAAAAAAGGAGTAAAGCACAGCAATCCAGTTTCACACGCAGCACCACAGTGAAGGGGACAAACACAGCTTTCCAGAAAGATGGGCTACACCTCCCCAGGGAACCTCTGCTGCCCAAATCGGCATGGATATTATGTAGCCTTAGTGATTTGGAAGTCAGCAATACAATGCTGTTCTCTTTTATGCCATCACAGGGTATGGGGTGCACAAACGACAGGCCGTGTGTACATCCAGCAGCAGGCTTGACAGCGTCAGCTTCTAGTTAAGGAGACTGTTAGACTATCTGTGTTGGTTTTGCGTGGCAAGGTT